AGATTTCAATTATTTATATTTGTTTATCAAAATATTGTTCGTGTTTAATTATAATATAATATGTCCTTAATATAAAAAGGGAATAGCTACGTTTTAAGCTAAAAGGCTTTTAGATAGAATGTGCTTAGAAAAGTCTCCACCATAAAGCTCTTCTTTAATAAAGACAGAATAAAACAAAAACCATCTCCGCCTCTTAAGCTTTCTCCTGGCTGCTCTTTTGCAGATGTTATCCTATTGTGTTTACCTGCATCTGGGGCATGGAAGGAATAGTTCTATCACTCCCATTTCAGAATCACAAAAGCTGAAGCACAATAAAGCTCTTTTAAAAATACTTTCTCTGGCCAGGCGTGGTGGCTCACGTTTGTAATCCCAGCACCCGGGGAGGCGAGGCAGGAGGACCGCTGTGAGTTCCAGGTCAGTCTCAACGACATAGTGAGACCCTGTCTCAAAAAACCCCCCAAAAAAACCAAAAAACAAAAAAACTTATTCAACTTTTTAAAATTTCAAAGCCACAGAAAAGTTGAAAGTAAAATGAATACTTACATACCTTTCAACCTGGATTCAAAGTTGTTAACATTTACATTTGCTTTCTTGCCCTCTCTGTCACCCCCACCACATGCACATATGCCACACCCAAACATCCACACATCTTTTTCCTTTTTATTTGATGATTTTGCTTTGTATTTTTGAGACGTGGTCTTGCTATGTAGTTCAGGTTGGCCTTGAACTCACTATCCCAGGCTGGCCTCAAACTCAGTGCAATTCTCCTGACTGTCTCTGGAGAGCTGGGACTACAGGCATGTGCCACCATGTTCAGCTACACATGATTTTTTTTCTAAACCTACCAAGATACTTCACTATCAGCATGTATTTTCAAATATGGCACTGTCAGTAAAACCATAATGTCATTATCACGCCCAACTATGAGACTTAGGAGAATCATACACAGCCGCACAGTCACAGATTCAAACCTCATTGTTGGGTCATTTGACTAAATGTTATTTATCTTAGACTGCATTGTTTCTATGATAATTATTTAGAAGAGAAATTCTCTCATAGAACATCTTTCAATTATCTTAATATCAGGTTTCATTTAATCCTTTGTTAGGAATTCTTAAAAACAAGCATCTCTGAAATTTAAACAGTAATCTTCTAAGACAACATTTAAATCACAAAATCAATTATCATATACTGAATTTCCAGTTTGTTCTTAACACTATATAGCAATCCTAAAGTGAAGCTATTCTAATGAACACTGTCAAAACTCTATGCTCTTTTTATGTGCCACAGAAGTTATTATACCAAATAGAATTAATAAAATCTCGTATTTTTTTAAAGGAAAAATATTGTTCTACAGGGGGGAAAAAGCACATATAATACTGATAAGGCAAATAAACCTCTTTTATCCACAAAAAATTTGTAAGTATATGCATCAATCTGCATTGGAAAATTTATTTTTCAGTGAGTATGATTTTTTTCTTTATTTATTGGTACTTTTTAGGTATACAGTACAGTTACACTCATCATTGTGCTCTTGTACCTTTACATGACAGATCTTGATTCTTATTTTTTCCCCATACCCATGCTCTCTCCCTTCACCCCCTCCCCATTTCCCTATTTACAAAGACCTTGTTTCCATTTTTTCCCTTTTCTCATATTTTTTCTTTTCCCTTCTTTCCTTACCCTTCCCTTCTCACTTCCCCTACTCCTTTAGCCCTTTTCTTCCAATTTCACATTATCATTTATACAATTTGAACCTTATTTACATTTTGAGTTTTTTCACACCATAGAAACTATTTGGTATTTACCCATGTGAGTCCTATTTATTTCAGTATGATTTAATCTTAGTCACTGATAATGGGAACTGAATACAAAAAAATTATAAAATCTTATCTTTGTAGGACATGGTGACACACCCCTGTAATCTCAACACTTAGAAGGCTGAGGCAAGAAGGTTAAAAATTTGAGGCTACATAAAAAGACTGTTTTAAAACAAAACAAAATCCTATCCTTGCTCTCAATGAGGACACAATTAATCTTCAGTAGTTTGATATATTAAAAAAAGAAAATAGCAATACAACCTAAAGCTAATATTTAATGGCTAAACTATGTCATACAGATAACTATAACCACAGAAATATTTAGGATTAATCTACAGTAAAAAAAAAAAAAGCTAAGGATACTATTTATTATGTGCTATGAAAAATTTTATACAACAGCCATAGTACAAAATCACTATAGGCTCTATGTGCTAAAAAAAAAAAAAAAAGCCCTCTTAGAGACCAAAAACATAAACCTGGAGAAAAGACAGCCTCTTTAATAAATAGTGCCAGCGCCAGGGATTTAGCTCAGTGGTTCTGGCGACTGTCTTGCAAGCACAGGACCTGAGTTCAATCTCCGGTACCAAAAAAAAAAAAAAGTTCTGGGAAAACTGGCTTTCCATATGCAGACTAGACCTGTATCTTTTACATGTTCTAAACTAAACTCAGAGTGGATCAAAGATCTAAAATGTTAAAAGAGAAACAATCTGCTGGAAGATAAATAGGTAGAACTACAGAAGATACAGGTGTAGGCAAAGACTTTCTGAACAGAACCCCAATTATACAAAAGTAACATCAAGAATCAACAAATGGGATCATATTAAATTAAAAAGCTTTTAGGGATTTAGCTCAGTGGCTCTGCTGCCTGCCTTTCAAGCGCAAGGACCGAAGTTTGATCCCTAGTACCAAAAAACAACCAAGATAGCAAACAGACAACCTACAGCATGAGAAAAAATTTTGTCAACTACTCTTCAGAAGACTAACAGCTACTATAACTAAATAACTTTTAAAAAATTAGATCCCCCAAAATGGAAGACCCATCTCAGTTAATTTTCTCTCACTGCTGAGACAAAATATCCCACACTCAAAGTTAGAGCAAGAAAGGTTTATTTAGCTCACAATTTGTACTGGTTTCAGTCCATAATCAGCTAGCTCCAAGACAGGGTGGCACCTGGCAGAAGGGAGTTGCAGAGGAGAAACAGTTCATGGTGCCCACAAGGTAGCAAATGCAACAAGGGACCCTGACAGTGTCTTTGTGCCCCTTTTATCTTAGGGCAGACTACTTAGGGCAGCTAGCACTCACACCCTTATTCTTAGTGCTATCAGGCCTAGTCTTACCATGAATCAGTCACACACTCTAGATTCACCCTCTGAAAAAGCATGAGGCTTTGGGGAAACATCTAAACACAAGCCATTACAAGACCCAATCAAAAAACGGGCAAGTGAAATGAGCAGACATTTAATAGAGTAACTACAAATGGCCACTAATACATGAAAATATTTTCAACATCCCTGACCATTAAAGAGATGTAAATGGGCTGGGGATGTAGCTCAGTGGCGCTGCACCTGCCTGGTCCTGAGTTCAATCCCTAGTACTGCCCCCCCAAAAAGTAAATTAAAACAATAATGAAATATCATCTTATTCCAGAAAGAATGGCCATCATCAAGAAAACAAACAATAAACACTGGAAAGGCTGTAGGGGGAAAAGGAACCCTTCTATATTGTTGATGGGAATGTAAACAAATACAACCACTATGGAAGTCAGTAAGGAGACTCCTCAAAAAAGTAAAACTAGAAATTACATTTGACCTAGCTACTCCCCTTCTAGATACCTTCCTGAAAGAATTAAAGACATCAAATTACAAAATTACACACGCATATCTGTGTTTATACCAGCACAATTCATAACAGCTAAACCTTGAGCTGGGGATGTAGCTCAGTGGTTCCAGCACCTGCCTCGCAAGCGCAAGGGCCCAAATTCGATCCCTGGTACCAAAAAAAAAAAAAAAAGCCAAATCTTCAAAGTAGCTTGTATGCCCATCACAGATAAAGCATATTTACATACAATGGAATTTACTCTGCTGTAAAGAAGAATAAACTTGAGTCATCTGTAGGAAGATGAATGCTCCCTGACACCATAATGTCAAGTGAAATAATCAGACACACAAGCTTAAATTCCACATGGTTTCTCTTACATGAGAAATCTAAAATATAAACAAAGAGCAAAATGAAAGATAAAAGCAAGTAGGGAGATAGACCTTTTGCAAAAGAGAAAGGGACAAAGAGATGGTGGTGGGAGGGGATGAAAAAAGAATTAAGATGTGTCTTGAACATGTACCACTCCCCACAAGAGATGCAATCATTATGTATTTACATAACAGAAAAAAATATTGAAAAGCACTTTTAGAACAACTGTCTTGCAATAATGCAGAATTAAAGAGAAATGGGAAAAAAGGTTTATTTCTATCATGTGCTTGTCAACGCAATAAATTATCTGCAGGATCAGAGAGCTCAAACTGAACCAATTCTGCCACACTTCAAATCAATAAAACCTTTCATTATGAAAAAGAAAGTGGTAAGTATAATTTCAACATATCCACAACTAGTTTTCAAACAGACCTTCAATGTAGTTAAAAGGTACCCTGAAAACTATGTCATTAACAAGTGTTAATCTAATGGGGGATGCAACTCAGTCAGTAGTAGAGCTCACTCAGTGTGCACAAGGCACTGGGTTTCATCCCGCAACACACACACACACACATAGAGCTAGCCAATTAATATAAAATTATTCTTACTACTCGATGTTACCATGCCAGAATTTAACCAACTTTGATATGTGCATAAATTTTACAGTACACGTACTTCAATAAAAGCAACATGACATATAAATTTATAAAAGAATTCAACATAGTTTTTCTACATTGCTTTAAAACTATTACACTTTTTACCAAAAGCTAATAAACATATTTTAGAAACAGTTATATAAATCATACATTTTTAAATTAGTCATAGTTTTATTTGTACATATATTAATAGTTTGTTATATCATCCATACAATAATTTTTTAATCCACAAAAGGATATTCCAAATAACTTCCTTTCTTTCTAGTAAACAAACTGTTCCTAAAGAGAAGAAATTTGAGAAAAAACTCTCAAGTTTGTGAAAACTAGATTACTTACCAGTAACTTGAGTTCTCCTATTGGGTCTTTTCCCTCACAGATCCACAGATCTCTTGCCCTTCTGTCCAGCAGGAGAATCTTCCTGATGGGCCTCCACAGGAACTGAGGGGCATGCAGTACAGACGCACAGGTGAGAACGTGGTGGGGAGGGGTTTGGAAGAAGCTAGAGACATGCTTCAGTGCACTTGCTTACCTTCCTGACATTGGAAATTTCAACGGTTCCTTGGTCCTCGAGGCATTCACAATAACTTCAAAGAATGTGGATCTGTGGAGATTACCCAATAGGAGAACTCCAGTTACTGGTAAGTGATCCAGTTTTTTCTTCTCTATCAGAATAAGAAGGTTATTTCATTTTATTATTAGTACATGTAGAAGTAAAGGGAAAAGGCTGCAAATTTACAGATGTATGCATACACAAAAGTAAATACAGAAACAGTTTGCTAACTGTAGTGTCAAGAGAAACTTGTCATTATCAGAAGCACAAAAAGAAAAAGATTTGAATGGTTTCATCTTTAAATGTCTATCACAATGGCAGTTCTATTTTAACATAAAACAAAAATACCAACTATCAAACTATTCCATTTCACTGAATCACCAGATTCCATGTTAGTACAACAGTTTACTGAAATCTGCTATTTAACTAGCTTTTGTTTGCTCAATTTTAGCATTCACCCCAGTGAGTGACTAGACTTCAGATTAAAAGAAAACAATTCCCATTTATCATCAAATAAGTCTTTAAAACAACTATTTCTACCTATTAGCAAAACAACCATGCATACACATAAAAGTATGCCAGCCACTGATAAATAATGCTGAGTATAACTTAAATACTTGTACAAAGGAAAGAAATACATGTTTAAAAAATTTTTAAGATTCTCACCTAAAAATGGACCCGCCATTTAAAGAAAAATTTCTAATCAAGAGGAAAAAACTTTCCTCTTGAATTTTCATATCTTCAACTTTATATGAAGATATAACTTTAACTTAATATATATTTATCATAGTTATGTCAATGTGTCACAGTAATGACTTCAAACATTAATTAATACCTATAATAGTACCTCCTAGACAGCTCAGAACTTCATCTTAAGCTATCAAATATATACTATTGTTAAAAAATTTGTGTTTTCATGATTCTTCATTTATTCATGATTCTTTCACACACAAAGAAAATGTGTACAACTTTTCCTTTAAGAATAAATAGGTCAAGGGCTGGGGATGTAGCTCAGTGGTGCAACACCTGCTGGCAAGCAAGAGGCCCTAAGTTGGATTCCCAGTACAAAGAAAGAAAGAAAGAAAGAAAAAGAAAGAAAGGAAGGAAGGAAGGAAGGAAGGAAGGAAGGAAGAAAGGAAGGAAGGAAGGAAGTAAAAAAGTAAATAGGTTGATTCCCAGTACTGGAGGAAAAACAGAATAATAGGAAAAGCCAGGCATGGTGTCACACACCTGTAATCCCAGCACTTGGGAGGCTGAGGCAAGAGGATCATTTCAAGTTTAAGGCCAGTCTATATGCTACACAGTGAGTTTAAGGCCAGCCTGAACTGCCTTGGGGAAAAGGGGGGAAAAAAAGGAGTAAACAATTTAAAAATGGTTTATAAAATTATTTCACACAAAAAAATTAAAAATGTAATTTTAAGAAAAAATTTACATTTCAATCTTGTTATAAGGTAATATTTGTATTTAGTAAAGGCTGAGAGCACATTTATCATCATTTTCTCTACATTCCAATTTTAAGATATAAACTGCATTAGATATATTAATATCTGCTTTTCTATAAATCTGAGCCTTAAAGTATAATATAACTATAGTCATCTTTAAGTGACTCACACAAGGGTAGTCCACTACTGTGGTCTGATGTGGTCTGAATGTCCTACCACCATCCCTCAAGGGTTCAATGGAAACTTAGTCCTCGGCATGGCAGAAACTTCAGCGGAAGGTCATTAAGGTCACTGGGGGCATGGCCCTCAGAAAGGATTCATGGCAAGAGTAAGTTGCTATAAAAAGACAAAGACTGCGTTCCATCCCATGCTGGGCTTCGTGTCCCCCTCTGCAGCTCCAAGAGCCAGGTCCACTTTCCACAGGCCTCCAAGGCCTTGCTCCAGGGCCAGGTAGACCTGAGTCACTAGCACTTCACAGTGAACTTCCAAAAGGTGGACTGATCATAGAGGGCACTATAAAAAGCAAAAAACATACTGACAGAAAAAGTGGTGGCACTGAGAAACTCCACCTGGACACATGAGTAGCCTCAGTAACAGGGATCTTCTAGATTATTCCCCCGACCTTAAAAGAAACATAGCCATCCAGGGATCAGAGTTGGAATCGGGGGTGGGAGATGGACCATAGAGGTTTCACTGGAGGGAGTATAGGGGACTGTAAAATACAGAGAAAACTTCCTTTTCATACTGAACTGCATGATGTCCCTTAATGTGCAACCAGAGACTCAGGAAGAAGGAAGGCCAGTACTCTCCAAGGGACAGAGGTATGTGGGAGTCAGAAAGGGCAGTGGATGGGGAAGAGAGGGATGAGAAGAAGGAAGAGACCACTATAGAAATAGAAGCAGCAACTCATATATTTTTCCCTAATGGTATCAGGTAGGATAAAGAAATAAATGACAGGGCTGGGGATTTAGCTCAGTGGTGCCGCCTCCTGCCTCACAAACGCAAGGACCCGAGTTTGATCCCTAGTACCAAAAGACAAAACAAAACAAGAAATAAATGATAGATATTAAATGATAATTTTCCATTTTTATAGCAAATGTAATCACTGTTACATTTGAGTGTTATGAACTTAAAACAGAATCAAATACATCAGAAAAGTAATTTAATTTAAGAGAACTAAAACATCTCAGGAATACTTTAAAGTAACCAAAGGACAACTAAGAGACTGACACTGACAGCCACATTTTGTTATCATTCCATAAATTCAACTAAGACGGATTTTATCGAATAAATTAGAAAAAAATTCCAAGAGCAGCACAGTCTATTCCAAAATAGCCTGAATGAACATTAATAATTATCATGTTCATCAACACAAGGCAATCCTTAGCAATCAAAACCCAAATCAAACATTTCACTAATGAAAAGCTACTCCATAAAATCAACCTAAACTTATTAAAAAAAAAAAAAAACAATTTAAGCCAGGCATGGTAACACACACCTACAATCCCAGCACTTGGGAGGGTGAGGCAGGAGGATCACTGTGAGTTCAAGACCAGCCTGGGCTACATAGTGAGTTCCAGGTCAGTCTCAACAACACATTGAGACCCTGTCTCAATAAAAAAAATTTAAATTAAATTAAATTTAAAAAAAAACAACTTCAGATCGGAATGTAGTACCCAGTTTTCCTGCCCTGGACATTACAATTGTTTGTGATGAATTCAGGCACACTATTTCTGATTTTCAATTAAGATTTAAACTTCTCCAATGAGAAAAAAGAAAGAAGATTTAAACTTCTCAGGTATTACTGCTACAGAATTTTTTTCTTCATGTAAATCCTTGATTTGGAATTCTGTTAACAGTATAACAAACTTTTACTATTATATAGTTGGTCCAAAGGTTGTCAGTTATTATGAAACTAATATTACACATATATCTGCATATATTCAAGTGATACTATTGACGGTTAATGTGTAAATTAGTATACATATGAATTAATATATACACAGAGACAACTGTATTAAACCTCAACTAAAATAAGGTTAAAAAATTATAAACTTACTATTGAATAATATTTTTTACAGCAATTGTCTTTTTAACTTTTTCATTCATCAGATAGTTTGCATATAGATTCTTGCATAATCTGATTTTTTCCAATCTAGACCATCCCTCCCACCATCATCCATAGAGGAAAAGCTCTAGAGGGCACATTAGTTACGAAAAGAAATTACAAAGTGCCAGAGATTTAGCTCAGTGGTTCTGCCACCTGCCTCACAAGTGCAGGTCTCAAGTTCGATCCCCAGCACCGAAAAAAAAAGGGAAGAAATTATGAGATTGCTTCTTTGCTTTGTTTTATATATTTGACTTAAATGTATTGAGTTTATTATGCCTTATATTCCTATTTAGTCCTGTGTTCTCTTAAGACAAATTTCCCTCAGGATAAACAAATTATAAATTCTATCTCATTTCCTCATAAAAATTTTCCTTTCCCTCAACTTATTATACTACTTCTTCCTATAGTGACCCATAAACAAAAACAGTGCTATTTCCTGATTTACTCAAATTAATCTAAAATCACAATAGCAAAACTACATTCATCTATAAAAACAGGGTAACAATGGAACCTGTTTCAGAGAAGTTGTAAATGACTTGATGCAAGGCATTTAGAAATAATGCCTAGAATTTAGACATATATCAAACTGTTAACATAACCACACAGAAACAGTATTATTCACAAATGATTGTACATCTTTAGTGGAATGTGGCCTAAGAGTTAGAAGAACACTAATTGAAGTCTAGACTTATAAGACACACATGTAAATACTGAATAGTTTCTCTGGTGTGAAAAAATAAAAGTGTAAATAAGATCCAAATCATATAAATGATAATGTGAAATAGGAAGGAAAGGATTAAAGGTTTAGGGGAAGTGGGAAGGGTAGGGAAAAGGAAAGAAGGGAAAAGAAAAAATATGAGAAAAGGAAAAAATGGAAACAAAGTCTTTGTAAATAGGGGAGGTTGGAGGGGGTGAAGGGAGGGCAGGGGAATGGGGAAAAATGAGAACCAAGACCTGTCATGTAAAGGTATAAGATCCCAATTATGAATGTAACTGTACAGTATACCTAAAAAATACCAATAAACAATAAAAAAATAAAGTGTAGACTTCATTCAGATTTCTTGTTTATATTATTATTATATTCAAACTATATTCTTATTGTAGGATAAAAAATAAATCATTTATTTTAATGATGTTAGGAACTAGTTTACAGCAGCACAAAGAGCCACAAGAACCCATTAACATTAAAATTGAACTGTAGGGCCAGGGATTTGGGTCAGTGGTTCCACCGCCTGCCTCACAAGCACAAGGGCCCAAATTCAATCCCCGGTACCAAAAAAAGAAAAAAAAATTTGAACTATAATACTACTACACACTCATACTTTTTTTTTTCAAGTACAATACTGGAGATTAAACCCAGGGCCTTGTATTCAGTTTCCTTTCCAGTCCCATTTTACTTTTATTTTTTTGAAACAGTGTCTCACTAAATCACTAACTTGCCCACACTGGGTTCAGCCTTATAAGGGTGCTCCAACAAGCTTGGCTTAGATTTATGATTTTTAGTAAATACATATGATTTCAAAATAGTTAACAGCATTTCAGACAGTAGTTACTAAGTATAATTAAGTAGTTACTAAGTATAATTCTCACACTATTATATAAATTATATCTGCTATTACCACAAAATAAGCCATTATATTAGATTTACTTTAATACAGAATGCTCCTCACTTTAAAAGTTGCCAGAACACTGCCACAAACTATTTCCCATGTTCCAATGTTTGACTCTTACACAATCTTAGAACTTCAGGGCCAGGGATGTAGCTCAATAGCACAGCCCCTGCCTGGCAAGCGCAAGGGCCTGAGTTCAATCCCCAGTACCCCCAAATAAAGTCCCAGAATCTTAGAAATGTAACTGCTGACAAATTCTAAAATGATATTTTAAGAAAGTATACATAATCCATGTTCTTGGCTGATATTTGATAGCTGAGACACTGATATCAAAAGCTGTTGTGAAAAGCTGAAAGTAAAGGATGCTAGGTAGGTAAGATCTAGTTCTCCAGAACACCTGCTCTAGCCAGAACAACTCCCTGTTTATCTATTTTATATTTGGGGTTTTGCTCATAAGCTTCTGGCTTTAAGAAAGAATCCTGAAATAACCAAAAGTTTTAAATATTAAAGTGTGACAAGCAGCCTGTATAGGAGTTCCTATATAATAATCTCCTAATGTGATAAATTTAGTGACTCATTTCTCAGGAAAAGAATTCGACAGAAGTAATGGGAAGTCACTTCTAAAAGCAGTTAAAAGACAGTGGTTTCCATCTACCTTACTGTCTTTCTGATATTTTGCTCTGGGGTAAGCAAGCTGCCATTTTCAGAGTGGCCGTATTAGGGAAGCCCACATGGCAAGAAGCTGAAGTGTCTGGCCTACAGCCAGACCTGGCAAATCTGCCAAAGCCATGTGAGTACTGTAACTTGGAAGCAGGTGGATGAAGGCCTAATGATAACCACATTAATGAGCTTGAGATGGATCTTCCCTCGTTGAGCCCTGAGATGACTGTAGCTCTACGTAATGCTGTGACTACAGCCTTATGAGAGAAGACAATATAATTATATTAAAATTAATCTGACCATCTTTGGAAGCTTTGCATTAGTTTGCATATCAATTCTTGGTGTTTTTGTTTTTGTTTTTGAGACAGGGTCTCACTACGTAGTTGAGACTGACCTGGGACTCACTATGTAGCCCAGGTTGGTCTCGAACTCACAGTGATCCTCCTGCCTCAGCCTCCCAAGTGCTGGGATTACAGGCGTGAGCCACCACGTCCAGCTCAATTCTTATTGATCATTCCTAAAATATAACTGCATATTTTCTGTGTAAAAGTGATCTTATGAAACAAAAATTTCTAACGTGATAAATATCAATAGAGTAAACTCAACAATGAGTTACTATGACAACTGAAAAGTGGCTGTCTCATTTTCTTTCCTCTAAAAGGAAAGTTAATTCCTTTTTATTTCCAATGAATAAACTTTTAAATAGCTATCCCTTTATTACATCTCACCACGCTCATGTTAATCATCCAGCTTTAATCAATTCCACCATCACTTAAAAGTGCACACAGGGCTGGCTTTGTAACTCTGGTAGAAGAGTTGGTTGGCATGCACCACATCCTGGATTCAATCTGCAGTATTAAAAAGCAAAACAAAAAAAAACATATAAAGCCATAAGTACTGAAATGCCACTTTTCAAAGTGTTCAATGGGTGTTGCTATGGCTTAGATCTAAATTGCCCTTCTCCCAAAACGTCCTCCAAAGCTCTTGTGTTCAGAGGTGGGGTCTGGTCTAAGGGGTATGGGTGTAATCTGGATGTATTATTTTTTCCCTATTTTTTATTAGTAATATGTTTTCATTACACAGTAAATACATTCCTTATGAGAACTGATACCTTTAAATCAATTCTTTGACTCAATGATCCTTTGTATTGTTTTTTTAATCTCAATTTCATTAATTTCTGTTCCTATCTGTAATTTCTTTCCTTGTATTAGTTTCAGATTTGGAGTGTTCTTGTCTTTCTAGGACCATGAGATGCATCATTGGGTTATTTATTTGGATCATTTTATTCTTTTTATATGTGCATTTTACAGCTATAATCGTCTTTCATTGTGTGCCATAAATTTTAGTGTGCTTTGCTTATCATTTGACTCCAGGAACTTCTGAGTTCTGTGATTCACTGACTACTCAGTAATATTATTTTATCGCCATGTGTTTTTGAGGTTTCTGTGGCTTCCTTTACTGTTGATTTCTAGTTTCATTTGCTATGATCTGACAGTACACAGAGTTATTTCAATTATTTGGTTGCATTTTGGTCTTTTTAACCAATCTCCCATCTATGTCTTTTGATTGAGAAGTTGAAAACACTGATATTGAGAGTCATTATTATAAAATTTTTTTAAGTCCTGTCATTTCATTATTTTTCCAGGGCCGATTATTTTCCTTTTATTTAACTACTTTCCCCAGTTAGATGTATACTTTGCTTTGGGTTCCTTAGTGCAGGTGGCCTTCTGGGGCTCCCTTGAGGATTTACTGCAATACTGGTTTAGTGGTCATGTATTTCTTTAGGCTTTCCTTGTTGTGGAAAGTCTACTTCTCTGTCAATTTCAAACATTAGTTTTGCAGGACATAAAAGTCTAGGTCCTGCGTGGTGAACCTATGGCACTCATACTGCAGTGGGCTGTTTTTATTATTGAAAGCTCTAAAAGATTCATCCTCACTGGTCTGGGTTAACAACTGTTTCCTATTAGGGCTGGATAAACTTCACTACAAATGCTCTTGGCTTTTAAAGTTTATGCTGAGTAATTCACAGTTATTCAAATGGGCTCACCTTTCCATGTCATTTCTCCTTTTACTCTAACAGTTTTTAGTACTCTCTGCTTGAATTTCTGGATATGTGATTATGATGTGTCATGGAGAGGCTCTTTTCTAGTTATGGCTATTTGGGGACATATATGCCTCTTATGCTTGAACACTAAATTATTTTATAAGATTTGGAAAACTTTCTGCTATGTTCTCCCTAAATTTTTTGAGGCATTTTTTAAATTTTCACTTATTCCTATTAATTCTGAGGTTGGTTTTGAGTTATCTAGCAGTTCTTGGATTCAACTGGCATGGTGGTTTGTCATTTTTAGGGTACCACCGAGATTAAGAAGATCTACTTACACCCCACTACTCTGTCATCTATTTCTCACAACTTTCTCACACTGGTCAAGTTTGCTACTCATCAAATTTTTCATATCATCTACCTGTGCTTGCTTTCCTTTACATACTTTCTAATTCTTTTTTTTTTTTTTTCCCGGTTTTTTGAGACTGAACTGGAACTCGCTATGTAGCTCAGGTTGGTCTTGAACTCACAGCAATCCTCCTTGTCTCAGCCTCCTGAGTGCTGGGATTTCTGGAGTGTGCCACCACACCCGGCTCATACTTTCTAATTCTTTGCAGAAGTGGTCATGTATGTCTTGTTTAATTTAATAATACTTTACAGTTTGTTTCTTCCTTAAACTTGTTGAACATTTTATTGGTAAAATTGTTTTATCTATTTATTTTTTTTTATTTTTTGGTAGCAGGGATTGAACTCGGGTCTTTGCGCTTGCAAGGCAGGCCACCAAACCGCTGAGCTAAATCCCCAGCCCTGTTTTATCTATTTAATTACATCCTCTTTGAGCTCATTAAACATCTTCTGCATTGTTACATATTTCTTCTTTTATCTTTTCAAACATATTAAGCATTTAGATTTTTAGTTCTTTGCCTATAGCTTTCTCTACCTCAGTGTCCTGGAAGTATGTATTATTGTACCCAGCTCCTCCTTTCTCTTCTCTGCCTCCTGGCTGCCATACATGAGCAGCTTTTCTCCACTAGCCCTTCTATCATTTCGTTTTTGCCTTGGATCCAGCTAACCATGGACTAAATCCACTGAAACTGCAAGCCAAATATATGTACCTCTCTTCCTTTAAGTATTGGGATTGTGTCCCAGAGATGAAAAGCTAATACAGATGTTCATTAATCACCTTCTTCATGGAACCATGAATCAACATATTAATAAGTAAAGTACAAATCTATTCTGTTTGAATTAATCTCAAAATACTAATAACCCATTATCTTTCATCTAACCAGGGGAATAGTCTATTTCCACTCTTCCATTCCGCCTACCGATTCTCCAGCACTTTCACACTTAAACACATTCAAGTTTCTCATTCTAGTTCTAACAAAATCTAAATGTCATATCACATACAGAACAACTAAATTGTGATCTGGTAGTCTGATTACTTTCTCTAGCTTCACCTGTTGTTTCCTGCCTACCTCTGTCTCGCCACACACTAGTCTTTCCTCAATGTAAAACAAACTTGTGCTTATGAAAAAGGACTTGCTTGGTGTGGTAACACAGGCCTGTACTCACAGAGGCTGAGGCAGGAGGATCACCACAAATTAAGGGCCAGCCTAGGTTACATAGTGAGTTCAAGGCCAGCCTGAACTACATAGTGAGACCCTGTCTTCAAAAAAAAAAATCAAAGTATGGGGGGGCTTTAAACCTGCTGTTAACTAGAACCTGCTCATTAACACTTCCTATTCTCTTTTGGTTTTCAGTTAAATGAGATCGCCCTGTGAGAAGCCTCTTCTGCCCACCTATTTCAAATAATTCCTCTTGTTATCACCACGTGCAATTATTTTACCTGCAACCTTTGTTTGGAACTTAAAATTCTTGAGGATAAGGATGTGTCACATTCTCTTTTATAACTCCATCACCTAGCCTGGCATTTGTCCTGTAACAGCCTTCCAATAATTATTTAAGGATTTAAATATTCTCAAAATTCACAAGCCACTCAGTGATTTTCAGTTTGAGTTGCTCTCTTACATTTTCTGTGTACAAAACAACTGGTACTCAGCATTGATAAAACTATCATAAATCACATCAAATTCAGCATTCCAAGAAATATGAAATGATAGGATTTTATTTATCAGAAAGTTTATACAACATGCTATGATCTGCTTGGTTAGCTGATCAATAAAGAGGGCTACAATTTGGCAGGCTACCCCTCCCAAAAAGAAAAGACAGAAGAGTTTCTTCAAACCAAACATGCTCCCTTGAAATTTACTACGCGCTTTTCCAAGAGTTTTCAAAGTTACCGTACATTTACTTGCCAGTTAAAAAATTCCTGACATCAAGATTTTGGATTTAAAAAAAAATTAACCCTGTTACATTTTATAACTAATCTAAGGAACAACCTTTAGAAGCACAGGCTTAAAGAAATTACTAAATAATCATAGCACTCTTCTTGAGCAACAAAGTTAACATAATTTTACTTATCTTCCTAAACCCTAAAACACTGGCATTACTCTTGTTCAAGTCACTACTGTCTCTCACCTAAACTACTGCAATGGCTTCTCTGCCTGCATAGTTGCTATCCAACAAATATGATGGCCTAAAACAGAAAAAATTCTCTTAGCCATGATTCCAATCATGCACTGCATTCATTTTAAGAATGGCTGAAGAAGTTGAACACACAGGTTTAGTAATTAATGTAAATTCCTTTATCCAGTAAAATGGGCACAATTAAATATATCTCATCTGCAGAATTATGAAATGTTTTCCATAGAAAACAAGAAGTGGAAAACAATTCAAAGCAACAGCAGAATCAGCTAAATGATAAGGCTTTTGCAATATCAATACTTATACAAGACATGCAACAAGCACTGAGAATTTTTTTAATATTATTACAATCATCATTATCTAAGAGTTATGCTAACTTCACTATATCACTCTCACATTTAATCATCACCAAAAAGCTACATGGGTAAAGTGAGGATTTAAACTGAAATGTGATTCTCAGACCAAGAGTACTGCCCTCAGGGAGATACCAGTACAAGGAGAGAGAGAGAGAAGCAAGCCAGTATTTTTTTTTCCGGTACCGGGGATCGAACTCAGGACCTTGCACTTGCAAGGCAGGCAGCAACACCACTGAGCTAACTCCCCGGCCCAAAGCCAATATATTTTTAATTCACTATGTAAATGCAATCATTGCTTTTTGTATAGAATGCTTTTTTTGTATATAGAATGCTGAAAGGGCCTTGGGACAAGTGAATACTTCTTGATAGAGATAATGCCCCTGCAATCATAAAAAAGCAAGAGACTGAAAGACTCAGAAAGACAGAAGAGTCAGCATAGTACATAGAAGAGGGCACAGTGGCCTGAAAAATACAATACAAATGGTCTGACCTTGAAGAGACACCCAACCTCAAGAGACACCCTCACCATCATCATAGCAAATTGTAAAAACAACAAAAAAGATACTTTTAACTTTTCAACTCTTAAGTCTATATATACGCTTACCACTAATGTACTGCCAGAGTACTTCCTAGATGTTAAAATTTAATGCTATGGGGCTGGGGATTTAGCTCAGTGGTGCTGCCACCTGCCTCAAAAGCACAAGGTCCTGAGTTCGATTTCCAATACCAAACAAACAAACAAACAAACAAATTTAATGCTATGGCCCAAACATTTGTGACAGTCCACACCAGCATACTAAGAAACACAAATGCACTCACACCCAGCCTGTGCTTGCATACACAGGAAGAAGAGGGATGAGTTGATATATGTATCCGAGAAACAATCTGGGGAAAATGTTATTTCTAGTAGAAATCACTCATGTTCTGGTTTAGTCAAGTATGCCACAAAAGCCCAAATATTTTACAATAGGAACAGATATATCCCTATATGAATATTTATTGTTATGTTACTGAAGGAATCAGACTGCTGCCATCCTGATCAGAGACCCCTCTAAACCATCCCCTCCCGGCACAGCTGTACCTGGAGACTCCTAACACTATCAGACCTGCTACTGATGGCAACCACTACTCCCTGAACCTTCCCAAGCTGTGACCTTGGGCAACCATTCCCACTTGTGCTTTCTCAAGCCTTGCTCTTGGCAAATAGCCACAACCCCCTCTTACTGAATTCCCCTCTCCCATGACCCTACAAAAGATCCCAGAGCCTGTACTCGAGCAGCTGGTCTGGTCTCTGGTGTCAGAGAAGTCCCTCTCAGGTATAAACCTGCCCTGTTTAAACTCTTTTATTTGGTACTGGGGATCGAACTCAGGTCCTTGTGCTTGCGAGGCAGTGGTGGAACCAATGAGCTAAATCCCCAGCTCTCTTTTCCTTTTTCTTAACAGCCATTTCTGAATTTGATTGCTCTAGCTAACATTTTTTGAGAACTTACTCTATGCCACGCACTGTTAAGTACTTACAAAGATTATCTCATTTAAAACAATTCTGAGTGAAGTGTCCTTATAATGTCCATTTTACAAATTTTAAAAATTGATGCTAAATTGAACAACTTTCACAGTTACACAGCCAGTAAATGGTGAAACCAGTATTAAAACTCAAAGAATACAGCTCCAGAGTCCATCCTCCTACCTATTTTACAATTGTAGGGAATTCTTAAAAATTGAATTTCTTTGCCTTTTCACTTTATATTAGTATACTGGATAGACACAAAAAATTAAAAACAAATAATGTAGATGTAAAAATAAACTAGGTGTGTTTGTTTGGTTAGCTGGTTTTTTGAGATGGTCTCACTATGTAGTTGAGACTGACCTGGAACTCACTATGTAGCCCAGGCTGGTCTCAAACTCACTGTAATCCTCCTGCCTCAGTCTCCCAAGTGCTGGGATTACAGGTGTGCACCATCACACCCAGCAAACTAGCATTTTCTTACACTAAAAATATAAATACAAAATAAAATTCTATACAAGTGGAAGATGGCAAGATTACAATTAAAATGTAAATTATCAGAGTGTTACAGAAAAATGCTGGGTACAATATAGATAATAGACCACAGGGAATACTGATAAAATCTGATAACTATGTTCACACAGTGGAATAATCTTATTAAATGTTACTCAAAAAATACAATCTGATGAAATTACAAATTCAATGTATCTTTCATTTGTAAACTACTGCTAATTATTTACCTAATCAATTATTATGTAGTTCAAAGCTTTATTAACCTTGGTCTTTACAAAAACCAAAAGTGACTAAGAGTAATGGGAAAAATTGAAGACATAGAGAAAGAGGGAAAAGAGTTTCTGCAGAAAGCAAGCTCAACTCTCTACCTTACCAAACAAAAACTCATTACTAGCACTGCCCTTTGAAATGTGAGGCTCAGAAGTCCAGTCACAATTAACCTAGCCTGTTAAAGAAGAACTTGAATAGTAGAACAGGGCAGTGAATTTCAAAGATATTTTGTAAAACACCTTATAAAGTAAGAATTTTTAATGCTTTTTTTCTTTTTGCGGTACTGTGAATTGACCACACAGAACCACATCTCTAATCCTTT